ATTATTATTATTATTATTATTATTATTATTATTATTATTATTATTATATTATTATTATTTTTATTATTTTTAAGATTAATGTCATCAATACATAATTAATGTAGATATCAGGTTGTGAATAATAAAAACAAGTAAATTTTGCAGCTCTAAATGCGCAATTAAATAAATGTGATCATTGTAACGTACATCGCTGATAAGTTGTTTGATTGCACAACGTAGTTAAGTGTCAACTGTTTACTTGATTTGATGGAAACAAAAAAAAAAAATAAATAAAATGTTCCTTGTCGATGAATCTTAACAGAATAGATTTGTCTGTTGTAATTGTAACCTGATATTGAAATATAGTTATTTTTTCGTGTGAAAATGAAATAGTGTTTGTTAAAATATTAAAATGGATACTGTTCAATGGCTGGCAATTACTCTAACATTAACTTTTGGGATTTGTGATGCTGATCCACTAGCTAGATATCAACCAGAACAAATCCACTTGTCACTAGGTGGTAAGTTGAAAGTTTTAAACGTGTTTTGTACGAAAATAAAATTATACATCCTGGGACTAATGCTGAAATAATATAAAAAAATATATAATCATCGTAGACAATGTTGTATTATCTACTTCAGTGGTCCTCAACCTATACACCGTAGTGCCCTATGGGTACCACAAGCTCATTTCAGGTAAACAACAACTCGTACAAAAATCAAACAATTTTTGGCTGAGTTTGAAAAATAATTTGAAGATTTGAGTCAAAAATAATACTCCTACCATTTGCTATCACTTATTTATGTAAGGCTGAGTTTTCTCCTATATAGGCCTATACAGCTAATAAAACCAAATATCGAACCGCCCTAATGTAGAACCAGTTGTCAATAATTAAACGAGACATTGCCAACTTTTCAAAAATAGTAAACCATTAAATTTTCATTAATTTTTAGTTTTTCAAATTCATTTTTACTTTTAAAGCAGTTTATCTGTCTTGTAATATCTGTCTTTTTCTTTTTGTTATTTGTTTATAATATTTTCAATATATTTTGAAATTGGTTATTAAAGAGAACTACCTACCTAGTGTTCATTTTTATCATGTTCCTTGTGGTCTCCAAAGAAGGGCATCATATATAAATTTTGATCAAAAAAAGGACACTCCCAGCAAAAAGGTTGAGAACTAATAATCTACTTTATTTATTAAGAAAATGTCAGATTACATGCCTCATATTACACCTCCAACTATATTTTCTATTCTACTTATTGTTTAGGAATATTCCTGTTAGTTTTTCTTTTAATAAAATAAATGAAATTGAAGTTCATAATCTTAGTAATATATTAATAAAAATATATTATATTTGTAATAAGAATAACATAATTTAATTAAATAACTCTTGCTCATTTTTACATGAAACTAGTTTTAAAATAATACTATTTAAATACTACCTTAGTAATAAGTCATAATATAAAATTATCACAAGTAATAACTAATTTGTATGGTCTTTATGAATAAATTTATAATGTATATAAAATATGCAACCTATTTACTGGAATTTCAATATATTTATACATAGGTATATTAAATAATAATATTGTGATAATTATAAATCAAGCTCTATTATAGAGAAGTTCTTGTATTCTTTATATATGTATTTAGGTAAACCGTAGATTTAATTAGTGATTTATTTTTAGTTCAAATGTATGGGTAAATAGTCAATAAGATTTTACGCGAAACAATTGATATAGCTTAATCTTCTGTAAAATAATAACATTGTCTATCTTGTGAATATTATGCGTGCTTCTATCCGTTGTTTATTTCAGACCTTCTATTCTGGGGGTATTGTAATCTTTGAAGGAGTATGTGGTATATAATATATATAAATATTTAATAAACAAATATATTTTTTCAGGCGGGAGTTTAAATTTTTCTTTGAGGGTAATATCCTTCCTTAAGAATTAGAGTAAAACGCTAACTCTTAAGCATTGTATATCAAGCTGACTTCCTCTTAATGTAAAATTTTTAATTAAAATGAACTAACATATAAAATGTGTAATATAAATAAAGTATTTTTTTATATTAAATAAATGTTCGTTTGTTAAATTCCAAATTTATCATTTACTGTTGTTTATACCCAAAATGATAAATAAACTCAAAATGGTTTTAAAACCATTTTTTTCAAAGCTTTACATACATCTAAATAAAAGTATAAAATATCTTTTTCAAATTGTTTGTTATAATAATTGTATCAAACCAAATGAGAATGAAAAAAAAAAAATTAATTAAAACTGATTAGCGACTGTTGATATTTCAAATCATTTTATTGGTAAAATAAATTTGTTTTTTTTTTATTTTTAGTTAAAAAAAAAGTGACTTGTTTAATAAACTTTTAAATGCGACGTTGTTTTTTATTATTTACTAGAATCTGAAACTGAAATAGTTGTTACATGGTCTACATGGAATAAGACTGATGAATCAATTGTTAAGTATGGTATTAATGGGCCAATTATCAAGGCATCTGGTACTTCCACATTGTTTGTAGATGGTGGTGAACTTCAGCGTTCTCAATACATCCATCGCGTTAGTCTTAGTGGATTGCAGCCTTCCAGCAAATATGGTAATTATTATTGTAAGTAAAATATTTTCAATTAATTCTAATTTTGTTTTGTTTCCATTTAGTTTATTACTGTGGAAGTAATAAAGGCTGGTCTCCTCAATTTTGGTTTAATACTGTTCCTAGTGATAAAAATTGGTCACCTAGCCTAGCCTTTTTTGGTGATATGGGCAATGTAAATGCCCAATCCCTCCCTAGATTACAAGAAGAAACAGAAAGGGGACTTTATGATATGATACTTCATATTGGTGATTTTGCATATGACATGGATAGTGTAAGTATTGTAAATATTGGTTAAATTCTAACTTGAAAACATTTTGAACAAAAATGACAACAATTCATGTTTATAAATTACTTGAGTTATTGTTCTTTAATTCATTATTTTGTTAAAAATGTTATAAAAATATTTTTATTTATACATTTTAATAGCATTGAATTTAATTTCAGGATAATGCTAGAGTTGGTGATGAATTTATGCGTCAATTGGAACCTATCGCTTCATATGTACCTTATATGACTTGTCCTGGAAATCATGAACAAAAATAGTTAGTTAGAAACAAAATAATGATGTTTTATTTTTTAAAAATACTAATAAGTATTATTTTATTATTTTGTAGTAATTTCAGTAATTATAAAGCTCGTTTTAGTATGCCAGGTGACTATGAAAACATGATGTATAGTTTTAATTTAGGACCTGCACATTTCATTAGTATTTCTACAGAGTTTTACTACTTTCTTTACTATGGAATCAAACCAGTTGTAATACAATATGAATGGCTTGTAAACGACTTAAAAGTAAAATTTTCTGCTTGGATTGTCATCATTACAAAGTTTAAAAATGATATAAAACAATATAATTATAAATTAATTAATTTTTTCTTAGGAAGCAAATAAACCTGAAAACCGAAAACAGAGACCTTGGATTATTGTGTACGGGCATAGACCTATGTATTGTTCTGATGATGATAAAGATGATTGTACGTATCATGAAACGATTACTAGGGTTGGTCTTCCTGTATTACATTGGTATGCTAATCACTTATTATCATTACATCAAAAAAATATTTTATATTTTATACATTTTACAGGTTTGGATTAGAAAATTTATTTTATGATAATGGAGTTGACTTGTGCCTTTGGGGACATGAACATACATATGAAAGAATGTGGCCTGTATATGACCACACTGTTTATAATGGATCTTATTTAGAACCATATACAAATCCTGGAGCTCCTGTTCATATCACATCTGGTTCAGCTGTCAGTTGTAAATTGTTATTTTATGTTTGTTTTTATTAAAATAATGTTTATTATATTTAGGGCTGTAAAGAAAGAACTGACAATTTTATTCCCAATCCCCCAGAGTGGTCAGCAATTAGAAATAGTGATTATGGTTATGGTCGTATGAAGATCTATAACAGCTCTCACTTGTATATTGAACAAGTGTCTGATGATTTGGTAAGTTTGTTAAAATTTTTTTTAAAAAAAGAAATTATTTTTCTATAAATTATAAAAATACATAATTGGTGATTTTTACTATGATTATTTGAATACATAATCTAACTAATATATATATATATATATATATATTTTTTTTTAGGATGGTGAAGTCATAGATCACATATGGCTCATCAAGTATCATCATAAGCCATATGGTAAACGAACATCAAAATAATCATCAAAACCTTGAATTTTAATTAGTTAACCTTCTTTAGACTAAATACTTATATTACGATTTTAAGACTTAAATTAAAAAAGTTGTATGCCAATATTGACTATTTATATAGTTTATAAAATTATTTACATTTTAAAATAAATAATCTTTAATTACTATTAAATAGTTTAAATTGTATCAAAAGTTAATATAATGGTAAAAATTTTATTTTATTCTCTAGTCTTTATTTTTATTTGTGATATTTATATATTATAAATTAGTATAAGCTGAATGAAAAATTTTAAATTTATTTGATTATGCAAAACATTATTTTTTTACCCTTCAAAAGAATCAAATCAGTTTTAGTATGTAACAATATGTGAGTAATCTATTAAACCACACACTGCATTCTTTAGCGTTGCCTGTGTTGTTTTATTTATGAATAATTTTGATATTTAAAGTTTTATTTCTTTACTAAACAATTGAAAAAAATTGTGAAAGTATAATGTTTTTCATTAAAAAAAAAAGCTGTTTTTTAAATTTTTTTAGTCGGCTCAAAATATTGTAAATTTTGTTAATATCTTCTATTAAAAACTGAAACTCTTTCAAAATAACTCCATTAATTATACATAAAGTTTATTCGTGGATTCTGTTGCATAAAATAATTTACCATTGTATTCTTATAAATTCTATTTTATGACAAGTAAATTATTTCAATTCATTATTAATCTCAAAAATGTAGTATATGGCTAAATTCTGTAACCAGGCATTGTTTTAATTTGTTTGTATTCTATCTAATCCCTAATCTTGTTTGATACATATCACCTCTAAGGGCTATTTTTATAGCATTGAATACACAAATTGATAGTTCATGAATAGCACAATAATTGTGATAGAATTATTCTTTAGCTATTTGAAAACAATACAGAAAATATCTGTAAATACACTGGCAGTAGCTGGGATTAAACATACTTGTATGCATTTATAATATACATATTATTTTAAAATTCTGTTTTATATAGTCAAAGTTTGAAGTCTTAAACCAGCACAAACAAAAGGTTCTGCACGCTCTCCTAAAATTTTTGTTTTGTATCTCCAAACAATACTGTACTGTCTAGAGTAATTCTCCCATATACGGTTAAATATATTAAAATTTTTGGGAGTACTAGTAGTTTCAATGTGTATAATTAATACTTACAATGCAAAATATTTTTTTGCTAGTGTAAAAAAATATCAAAAATAAAAATTTTATAGCAATAAATATAAAATTTAAATTAATATTACTAATTGCACCAAAAGACATACAATCATTTGTTGAAGTATACCTACCTAAATTTTTTTTTTTTAAATAATTTATATATTATGAAGAAAAAAATAACCTAAAAACATTTAAAAAAAAAAAAAAACTATTACTGTAAAACCAACACATTTTTCGCTATGTTCAAAATCAAAAGAAAAAATAATCACGACAATAGTTTTTAGAAAAAATAGACCTGGCGTTAGAAATTATACACCTATTAAAATGTTGGCTATTTTAAAAAAAAATAATAAAATAATAATTAATATTAATAATTTATAAACCACTAGGACTGGTTATGGAGATAAAATAAATTGGAAAAAAATTCATTGTAAACATAGTTTGCATATTTTTGTCCTCGATTTCCGATTTATGGACCATAAGTACCCGTATTAGTTACTCGTGAAACTTCTCTTGGGCCATTTCAATCGTGCCAAAAAGTATTTTTAGATTGAGAAAAATCATCGTAATGTTTACTGTGAAACTAATAGCTTCGTCGTTCCATACTGTTGAGAATTTAAAAGGGCAGGAAGAGTATGGCATACCGCCATGGCACGCCATATTATGTTTACATTCTATTCTGAAATCGCTGCATCAAATGTTACACAGTATTACGATGAACTTAATATCGCCAATATCGGAAAATAAGAATCGAAAAATACAATAATCGAATTTTAGATACAAAGACTCTCTATAAGTTAGTTGCAAATTTTACGATTGTACAATGTACAGTAATCCCTCATTATCCGGTGATTTTTTATCCGTGGTTTCAATTAGTGATGGACGTAATCGAGATATACTACAATCGAGATACCTCGAATATGAAAATAATCAAGATATTTCGATTATCAAAATAATAATTCGATTATATACCCGAGAGATTATTTCGAGTGATATCTCGTTTTTTTTAAAAACAATCAATTCTTGATCTCGAGATGTGTATCGAATGAAAAAATATTTCGAATGATTTTCATGGAACACAGGAGTGAGGGAGGAATATTATTTTTTTAATCTTCATAATTGAGTAAGTAAATACTAGTTGTTCACTTTCAGTCTTTGTATTTACGACTCGTGCTACTCGTAGGACTGGTTGTTAGACAAATATTGATGGGTATACGGTTATTCTTAGTTATTTAAATTTTGAAGTTTTACATAAATATATAGCTATACTTTTTGAATAACTCAACTACAGAACAACAAAAATTTCTAAGAACGTTTATAAATAAAATTATATTTATATATTATATTTCAATGGGACATTTCGAATGATTATTTCGGGACATCTCGTTATTATAAAAATGTCTCGATTACTAATATTTCAATTATTGAAATCATTCGATTATGCCCATCACTAGTTTCGATTATCCGCGATTGAGTCCACGATAAAATTATATTAATACAATAATGTTTTATCGTTAATAGATTTATAGTTCTATAGATAATACAACTATGCAAGTACTTTTGTACTTACTATAGATAAATACCACACATAAAGTCTCGATTACATAGAGCGATTTTACACGCTGTGTGTCGGCGATTAAAGTCGCGCGCGTGTGAGCGTGTAGCTACTTGTCCGATTACATTGAGCGATTAAATTCGCTCTTTCGCTAGTCGCGTACACGCATTCATGTGATATACATGTAACAAGAAGTTGTCATTGATATAGATAATTCATTCGTTTTCGTTTATATTTTAAATTGTATTATTTATTAATTATTTATTATTATTTATTTAACTGGTCCCCGTTCATCCTTAGAATACTTCGGTAGGCTGCAGAATCTTCGTGTTTTAGTTCTTTTAATAATGTATTGGATGCACCATATTTCTCCGACCTTGAACTACAACTTCTGATCTATAATCTTTTCTTTTTATACTTTTTCTTTCCCAACTTCTATCGCAATGAATGAGAAATCACAATAACTCCCGCGCAAACTACAGCTTCCGACATTTTGACCAGTCACTAATCGGTGGCACACTAGCGATTACATTGAGCGATTTCACTCGCTGGAGTGTAAAAACGTCAGCGACTAGCGACTAAAGTAGTCCGGCCGTTAACTTTAATGCTCAGTGTAATCGAGGCTTAAGATATTTACAGACTATACATGTACGATTAATAATCGTCAATTATTGTTTAGTTTACGGTTGATATTTGTGCATGTACATACAGTACATACAGTTACTTCTAATAAATTAAGTGTAATTTAATTTAAATTTTCCATTTTTCCTAATACATATTATCCCAGTACAGTATGTGTACATATAAATAATTAATAGATTTGATAAATTAAAAATAATTAATTAAAAAATGATAAAAATATGTATTAATCTTATAGTGATTTTTAAAATTAAAAATATAAAACCTAATCTCCTTCTTTACATTGATTTATGGTTTCATTATATGCGGTTTCATTATCCGCACAACTTTTCTGGAACGCAACTTCCGCGGATAACGAGGGATTACGGAGATGACTAACATACCGTGACAGAATCTCAAATTTTGGCGCAATTATATAAAAACCACTCCATCGACCATCCTTACAAGAATAACGCGCCCTCTTTAAATTGTATTTCTGTGCACTGTATAATCATTGATTAAATATAAATATTTAATCAATGGTATAATATTGACCAACAGTTTTGTCATAAAATTATTAAGTATATATTATATTAAGTATAAAAGTATTATAAATACTATTCGGCAGTAGTTACTTTTAGATATACTACAAACAAAATGGGAAGTGGTTGGGACCCGGGAGTACCCACCACAATCATACATTTTTAGGGATGGCGCGATTGCATCAGACAAACATCCATCATCACGCTACTGTACACGTGAAATCGAAAACGGTAAAACGCGCATCATTAAAGGAAGAATGAATTATTATTTTACGAGCCCATACAGTTTTAATGTATTATTACTTAATGCAGCCTAATTATTTTTATGTGACAAGTAAAAACTAAGTAAAAGTTGGCATTGTTAATAAATTACTACCTACTACTTTTTTTAAAAATACTTTATTAGATCGATTTGTTAATTATATTATTTTGTCATAGTAATTAGAAAAACTACGCATAGCTATGTTGCAATTACCTATTCAATTTTTGATAAATTATATCAGTCCTCTAGTTTAGTTTTGGAACAGTGCGGAATTTTAATTTTATAACGAAATTAATTCTTATGGTTATCTTTTATTTCTTTTTATTAATTTAAATTTTACAATTTCTTCTATTTATTATGTTATTCTCCCAAATGTTTTTACACTTTAATACATAGGTTCCCAACCTATGGTCCGCGGACCACTGGTGGTCCGCGAGACATTGTGAGGTGGTCCGCGAGCCATACTTACAAAATGTAAAAATATTTTTATAAATAAATTTATTTATAAATTTATATTACGTAGTGAAACCCATGTTATTATTTCAACCGATAATTTAATATTTTTTTTACATTTTTACATTAAGATTAGATTATATCGGCACAATTTAACAGATTATGTTCAAAGTTGAATATAATATTGTTGGTTTTTGTTGTTAGTGTCTCCGTACTCGTATTCCGTAGTCGACGTTTGTGTTCTTTTTAATTTTTCGTGTGTTAGATTGTCGAAATATAGCTCCGAAAAGAAAGTATGACGATGGATACATAAAATTTGGATTTATCGTAATCGAAACTAACCGTGAAATTCGACCACAGTGTAATATGTGCCACCGTTCTCAGTTATGATGCGTTGAAACCCTCCAAGTTAGAACGGCATTTAAAAAGTGTCCATCCTAAATTTAGTGATCAACCACCAGAATTTTTCATTGGTAAATCAGAAAATTTAAAAAAAATGAAACTAGGAACAAGTGGTTCAAGATTTGAGGCAAACGAAAAAGTTCTATCTGCGTCATTTAAAATTTTACAATTAATCGCAAAATCAAAGAAATCACACACAATTGGTGAAAATTTATTAAAGCCTTGTTTACTAACTGCCGTAGAAGAAATTTTAGGTGCAGAAGCTAAAAAGAAAATTCAAGAAATTCCATTATCGAATAATACTGTGAAAGATCGTATTGATAAAATGTCTTTCGATATCGAAGAACAATTACTAGTAAAAATAAAAAATTCGCCTTTTTACGCATTGTAGTGTGATGAAAGTACTGATGTTTCACAATGTTGTCAGTTACTGGTTTTTGTTCGATTTTTGGACAACAACAATTTAATAAAAGAAGAGCTTTTATTGTTACAAGAATTGAGTACTACATCAAAAGGAAGTGATATACTGAAGATAATAAATGATTATTTTGAAAAGCACGACATTATGTGGGAAAAGTTAGCAGGTTTTTGTACGGATGGTGCTCCAGCTATGTTGGGATCACGCTCAGGCCTAGCAACGTTGGTGAAAGAAAAAAACCGTAAAGTATTGACAACACATTGTATTATTCATCGACAAGCATTAGTATCAAAAACATTACCTGAAGAACTCCAATATACTTTGAAACAGGCCATAAAGTTGGTAAACATCATCAAAACTAGTGCACTGAATACTCGCATTTTTAAAAAAATATGCTCGGACTTGGACTCTGAATATGAAACTTTACTTTTTCATACCGAAGTCCGATGGCTTTCGAAAGGTAACATGTTGGCACGTTTATTTTCACTAAAGGAGGAGGTGGCAATGTTTTTAACTGAGAAAAAAAATGATAATTTATTGAAATTTATTTATGATCATAAGTTTAAAATATACCTGGCTTATCTTGTCGATATCTTCGAACATTTAAACTTAATTTGCAATTAGAAGGTTCTGGAAATAATAAACTGGAAGGCTCTGCAAATATATCCATATTTGAAGATAAACTTCGAGCGTTTATGTGTAAAATTGATTTGTGGATAAGTAAAGTTGAGATGAATAATTATTCAGCGTTTCAAACACTGAAAAGCTTGGTTGATAACGAAAAATATGCTGACCTCGTAAATGAGGTACAGCAAAACGTTTTACAACATTTGAAAAAACTTAAAAATGAGTTTAATCGTTATTTTCCAGAATATAATGATTTGGAAACAAATGGTATACGAAGTATGATTCGAAACCCTTTTATCATTAAAATCAATGAGGTACCTGATAATAACCAGGAAGATTTGATAGAGTTACAAAACGATCGAAACTGTAAGGATACATTTGAATCTGGCATGAATATCGAAGAGTTTTGGTGTAAAAAAGCGATTACGTACCCTAAACTTCGAGAAATTGCATTAAGATATTTAGTCATGTTTTCGACAACTTATTTGTGCGAACAAGGATTTTCTGGACTACTCTACATTAAAAATAAACAGAGAAATCTGTTGGACCCCGCTAAAGACTTGCGTGTAGCTTTGAGCAGTATCAACCCAAGAATATCTTTGTTAGTGAACGAAATGCAAGCACAAAAATCGCATTAAATTGTTTTCATAATTTTTGTAATTTACCTTAAATAACTATAATAATGTAATGTAAATTTTTTTAGAATATTAGTTTGTATTAAATTTTTAATTATTTTTAACTTTAATAAAAAAAAATCAATTATAAGCATTATTAAAAGCCTCTTATAAAGAAATTATAAATTCTTGTTAATGAGCAAAAAAAAAAAGATCTTCCTAGTTTACGTAAAATTGAGGTGGTCCGCGGCCTATAAAATATTGTCGAAGTGGTCCGTGGTGGTAAAAAGGTTGGGAATTACTGCTTTAATATATTACAATATATTCTCATCTTATTTTTGATCTTCTGAGTGATATCTTTCCTATCTGGTTCTGTTTAGAAAATTTTTTAAACTAATCGACTTGGGTACAATATATCTTGGAAGTTATCATGGGCGTTCGCACGGGAAGGGATAAGGAGGATGAATCCCTCAATGGCCTTTTTTTTTTTAGGTAAGATAGATTTTCATGATAAACTAATAAGTGATATTTAATATTTTAATGAAAATTAAATAAATAAATACAGGTATTTTTTTGACAAGTTATCATTTTCTATGCGAATATGTAATTGGTATACAAATAACAGATTACTGACTACGGTTACAGATTAATATCCGTAATCTAATATTATGCTGATGTAAAGTATAAACAATAAATTAGTAGCAATATACCATCGATTATATAAATTATAACATATTTATGTTTATCAATTGTTTTTAGTGATTTGTATAGTGTATTGACGAATTACGACTAACGGACTGACTTGTGTTTTTTTTTTCCAAAAAAAAGCCAGTTTTTTTTTACAAGTAAGTAGTACTGATATAGAATAGTGTAGGTGAAGTAGACAAAAGTAAATTGTCTGAGCAGCCTGATATAAATTGGTGTATGTTATTTTTGTATAAAAAAGGGGTGTGGGGGCTTGTCTCCCACGGCTCACCTTTTAATAAATTTTCATATCTCCCGCCCCCACTAAAAAATACTGAGAACGCTTCTGAAAGTTATAGTAAATAAATAGTTACAGTTGGTCGAGTTTGCCCTAAACGTTGATATTGAATTTAGTCCGTGCTACTTTTATGTGTTTGAATTGAGTTATCAAATACTTACCTACCGGTGGCGACCTTGAACTTTGCAACGAAACGGATATTCGTCAACGATTTACTCATTAATAATAAATAATTGTATTAACAATAATGTTGCACAGTTTGGAATGATTTTTCAGCAACAACAAATCGAATCATTAATAGTTGTGAAAGTTTTCACTCAAAATTAAACTCATTTTTTTATTCGGGACGTCCAAATAAATAGTAAATTAAATAAAATAAACGTATTTTTAAAAACATTATCTTATAATACATAACTATTATTATTTAAAAAAAAATTATTATTAAAAACAATGTAAGCAATTACACACATTTTTGAGAGACTATACAGCCAACTTCCATGTGGTATTTCCTGGGTAACGCTAATAGACTGAAGGGACTCAACTCGAATAACCTAACAATATTGGTCGAACTCAACTCCGATAACCCAAAAATATTTGTGGAACTCAATTCAACGTCAGCTGCCCTAAATATCTAAACACGCTCTTATGAATGGTTATAATATTGTATTAAAATCTATCTATATGAATTAAAAATAAAAAAATTATATTTTAAGTCTTTAGCTATGTATAGTCTTAGAGATGTATACCAAATACCAATATATGCGTAGTAGTATTTTAGATTAGTAAATAGTGATTTATGTTCAGCTTTTAATTTCTCTAGTATAATAAATTACATAAATACAATTTACGTTCCATTTTGTATACACAAATAGGTTAAATTACATGTATAATATTATACTAGGTATCACTATATAATACTATCATCATTAATAGTGGCTCATTATTATAAATTTCTAAAAATTATTTTTGAATGAGTTATATATGAAATATGTATATTTATTCTTGTTGAAAGAAAATCATATATTATTTTTAAATGTAATTTTATATTTTTCGCGCAGTCTATTAATAATTACAATTCAGAAAGTAGTTTTAAATTTCTTCTTTTAGTATCTCAGTAGACTAATTATATTACTCATTAAACCTGCCTATGTCCTGTAAAATGTATTCATGTGTATTAATATTGTTTATATAATATCATAATTTAATTCGAAAATGTGAATACGTACATGGATAATTAAACAAACCTTTCAACTTCATTATAATGAAATACGTGATACAATTTAATTAAATACTAGTACACAACTATAATAATTATTATATAGTACGTACTAGTGATGGGAAAAATTCGGATTTGCCAAATTTAAAAAATCCAATATCCGGATTTTACTCTAAATTCGAATTCCGAATTTTGAAATACAGATTTTACTCTAAAATAGGATTTTAAATTTTAAAATCTGGATTTCATTCTAAATTTGAATTCAAATTTTAAAAAAAATTAATTAGTATTATTTTTTGTATGAATTATAATAAATTTTTTTAACTACACAAACCTATTTTTTTTTATTCAACTTATTTTTTAATTATAATAAATAATTCTACAATGTTAAATACAAAATTTTAATATTGAAATCTGTAAATATAAAAATTCGAAACCCGGATTTATTGGGTTTTGGGAGAATCCGGATTTAATTTCCATCTCAAGTACATAATATTTTATTCACTCGTATATATTTGTGTATCTAATTAAATATAACAATTTTGAAGTTCTAAGATATAATATAAAGTTATTTTTTGCGTAGGTGCTTATCGCATTTTGTCAAATGTACATCATATATATGTGTAGTTATATGCACCTATGTGTTTCTAAACGGAAAGAATCAAATTCTAAATAAATTATGACGTAAACTACATTACTATGAAAGTAGATACATCTAAATTCGATTTTATTCCTTGATAAAAATGTAAAATAACCTTTATTTCTACATATTTTTTTTATTAAAAAAATCCAAGTTTAGAATAAGAAGGAAAAGCCAATTGGGGTTTCAACTACGAAGTCTATAAAGTTCAAGTGCTCATTATGGAAGTCTACAATATAATGTCTGTGGTTTATTATTAAATAAATATTATAATTTATTCAATTAATGTTTTTTATTGTGGTTGAATGGAACATTCGAATAATATATTATGTTTTTAAAAATATTTTTTTAATCAAGTTATCGGTCAATTGGGGGATAATAAATATTTCTGTACATCATCTAATAATATAATATAATCAAATAATAATCGAGATTTTTTAAAAAAAAATAAAAATTGTAATTTTCGGAAATTTCATTACCATTTTTGGTGAAAATAAAGTTTCATCTATATTTAGTTTTTAAAAAATGTTTGTTACGTTAAATTTATTTTTTTCATTTTTCAATTATATAAATGAAATTATATGAAGCTCGCATCACAAGAATTCAAGATTAGACAAATTTTTAGTATTTTATTTAGAGTTATAGGAAGTCCATGATTATATAAAATATTTTGGACATATAATTAATATATTTTTGATTACTTAAAGGGCACTTGCATTTGAGATTTAACCGTTGAGCTTGTGAGCTTTTAATATGGATATGAATATATTATACACAATAGCTATGACTTTAGATAAAATTGATATTGTAAGAGAAAAAATCTGAATTAATGTGGAATATTCTGGTACCTGAATAAATAATATAAATAATAATATTAATAATTGTTAAATTGTATTAATAATAACGATTGTGCACACAACAAAATTATGTAAAATATTTAGCCATATTAGGTAAAATATATTATTTTGACTAGATAACCTGTAAAGTGTGAATGTATTTTGATTGTTAATACATTGTGTCATTATTACATCATAATAAAGGCAATCACGTGTAAAAGGTATGTAATCAAAGTACAACCAAAAATAAATATTATTTTCTTTAATAGTATCTCAATTGAATAAATTCAGGTGGTTAGAAGAACACACTAATGTGTTATAGAACAATTTTTAAATTTAATGAATTCGTTGTAAATATTGGTGTCATAGATTATTGGTTTATTGATATTTGGTCGTAGTTAATATTAATTATTATAATATTATAATATAATATGCTTTATGATGTTTCAAGATTATAACTTTTATACGTATTAAATAATGATTATTTACTAGTTGTAATTATTGTCATATTGATTATATCAAATTATAGTAGGTATATCTTACTGTATTTAGTTTTATATTCAAATCCCGATACCAAACAACAAAACATATTTTTAGATTTACAAATATGGATCAAATTAGAAGAGAATAAATCCACATTAATCCAATTGGCATCGGGATACTCAATATTTACTGAATGATTTTATACTTCTCGAGAGTTATAGGGTATTATAAATTTAACCTTCAAGTTATAGTTATTATTTAACTCTAAAAACTTTTTGAATTTACTCTAATTTATTCTCGACGTTCTCACTGTTTATAATTCGTTAGTTGTGTTTACACATCAAGTTTTCTTCCCATTCGAGTTTTATATTATCACAGCATCTAAATATTACATTTGTTTCATAAGTATAAGTAATAAGATTGAGTTTTCATTTTAAAAATTCAGTCTAACGTGTAATTAGTATTTGTTACACACAATGAATTATTTTAAATTCAAAACCCATTATTGTTCAACTTTTATATTATTTATTAATAATATTCCAAGACATTTTACAAAATGAGATTTATGTTAATATTTAAAAATTTAAATGATTCAAAAATACGAATAACATCTAGATATATTACTTGAGACGTTCGTATGAAATTATTTGCAGGTATCCGGAAATGGGTTAGTTGAAAATATGATTAAAGAAATTAATATGTTTCTTGAAGCGTTACGTCGATATTGTCGAAATAACATAATATAGTACCTATACATATATATATATATATATATATTAATAAGAACGTGATATCTTACTTCTCTGGCATTAATGCTATTTTAAATGCTTCGATTTTTCGGAATGCTGAATTTGACTTTTTTTTTAT